CTTTGTGGTTGAAATGGATAAATAATAAGTTTTGAGCTACCATAGTAGGGGGAAGTAGGTAAGGGAGAGCTTGGACTTGTAAAGTACCAGAGCCCCAAACGACTTTCACATGCTACCTGTCAGGCCCTGTTAAGTACTTCTTAACTTCACTTCAGGTTAGAATCACCTGGGAAACTTAAAATTACTGGTGCCCAGGTCCCACCCTTGACCAGCTAAATCAGAATCTCGGAATTTTGGGATGAGTATTTTTTTAAAGTTCCCCGGGTGTCTTAGTCCATTTTCTTCTGAATACCTGAGACTAGGTAATTGATAATGAACAGAAATTTATTTAGCAAATGGTTCTGGAGGTTGGGAAGTCCTCGGACTCAAGGACATGGCGCTGGCATCTGGTGATTCTAGCTGCATTGTGCCATGGCAGAAGAGCTAAAGGACAAGCGAGCACATGCAAGAGAGAAAGCATGAGGGATAACTAACCCACTTCTGCCGTGAGGACAATTCATTCATGGGGCTCTGCCCTCAGGACCCAATCACCTCTTAAAGGTCCCACCTTCGAGTATCAAGTAATAATACTGTCACAATGACAGTTCAATTTCAATATGAGTTTTGGAAGAGACATTCAAATCGTAATACTGGGTAGTTCCTAAGTGCTGCCAGGGCTAAAATTCATTGTGGCTATTTCAGGTCTAGCCAATTATATGTGGGGAACATTTATTAAAATGTGTATAAAATACTTGCTAACCGTATAAAGTAGATATGCCAGCTTTCCCTCCCCTGCCATCAAATAGGCAGGGTTTGGGGGTTGGGTTTCTTTCTTTCTTTCTTTCCTTTCTTTCTTTTCTTTTTCCTCAGTCAGTCGCAAATTCTGAAGAAACAAATGGAGGGAGATGGAGGAAGATATTTTAAAGAGGTCCCAGGGAAGGATGGGGGGTGAGGGGTGGGAAGCATTGTTTGTATGTATTAATATTTCAGAAAGTAGAAAATGTGGCATGTTCTCAATCTATCTAAATTATGTAACTTTGCAGGATGTGATCCATTTGTGTCAGAATAATGAGGCATATAATACGTTGCATTTAACATGTGTGGGAATTCTTTGCTGAGTAATTAGCATTCCTTTCTTCAGCTTGTATTCAGAGGAAACATACCATTCACACCCTCTCTGTGTTCACATTTTCCAGTGCGTTGGAGAGCTTTTTTTCAATAGAAATCTTTGTCCTCTTCCTAATAAGACTTGGATTATATTTGAAGAAATTACATTTGAAGAAATTTAGCATATCTTTCTTGTTTTTCTGGCAGGAATTGATTTTAAAATCAGAACAATAGAACTGGATGGAAAGAAAATTAAGCTTCAGATATGGTAAGTGAAAAAAAAAAACACACACGCACACAGAGTTTCTACTTTAATTGGGAGTCGAAAGTGGGAATTAAAATGTGTATTGTGATAAGTTAGAGACATCTTATGATAGCTAAAATGTCTTTTCTTTGTCAGAGCCAAGGGGAAATGGGTAAGTATTGAGCATCCTTCAAAGGTATCTCCACCAAGAGTGGGAAGGTGAGGGATGGTACTAACTCTTGGAGCCAGAAGAGAGATGACAATTCATTCTTCCAAAACTCTACTTTTGGGAGAGAGGAAACTAAATTCTAAAGAGCGCAAATTAGTTCTTCATCGCAGTTGTTTCAGCTTTGAAATCAGATAAGGCAAAGTGGTCAAGCAGTAGGATCCCAGAGCAGGAAGTTCAGATGTAGGTTCTCGCCATGGTGCCTCTAAATTGAAGGCTTTGGCCAGTTACTTCCCTTCTCAGGGTCTACTCAGGGTCTTCATTTGTAAATTGGTTGGATTGATAACATTGGAGTTTCCCTCCAGCTCTGATATTTTATAGTTTATTTGCATATTTCTTCTTGTTGAATGGAAAAGTGAAAACTATTGGATTGGGAAATAAGGGAGAAAAAAGTCATGTCTTAGTTTGGGCTGCTCTGTAAGATATTAAAAAAAAAACACCGTTTTTCTCTTACACAGTCAGCACAACACTTCTGACAGATGTTGGGGCTTCCCCCCCACCCCCACCCCCACCAAACAATTCTCCAGCACACACCAACTGGGTGTCCTGTGATTTAACTCAATTCTGACAGTGCCTACCTGGAGATAGCATCAGATCCCACAGGTTGAGGGCTGGGGCCCACAAGACTATGTCTACTTCAGATGCCAATCTCAAGTACAGGTTGAGTATCCCTTATCCGAAATACTGGGGAACAGAAGTGTTTGGAGTTTTGGACTTTTACAGATTTTGGAATATTCGCGTATACAGGATGAGATATCTTGGGGATGAGACCCAGGTCTTAACATGAAATTCATTTATGTGTCATATACACCCAATACAAATAGCCGAAGGTAATTTTATAAAATATTTTTAGTAAGATATTTTTAATATTTTTCATGAACTGTGTGTGATGTGCCTGCATTTTGACTGCAACCCATCACACTCAGTTGTGGAATTTTCCACTTGTGTGTCATGTTGGTGCTCAAAAAGTTGTAGATTTTGGATTTCAGATTTTTGGATTGGGGATGGTCAACCTGTAGTAGGTTGTAACCTATACTTCTGACCAACTGGCTATAAATCAGGGTTCCCACGACCCTCTTCTTGGGTTTCATTAATTTGCTAGAGCATCTCTGGGAAACACTTCACTTATGTTTACCTATTTATTATAAAGGATATTATAAAAGATACAGATGAACAGTCAGATGAAAGAGATGCACAGGGCAAGGCATGTGGGAAGGGGTGCAAAACTTCCATGCTCTCTTCCACATGGGAGGGGGCACCCCACACTCCAAGCACCTCCAGCACCTCCATGCTATCTGGAAGCTTTCTGAACCTAGTCCTTTTGGGTTTTGTTTTGTTTTGCTTTGCTTTGCTTTGCTTTTTTTTTTTGAGATGATCTTCCTGCCTCAGCCTGGAGTAGCTGGGACTACAGGCGTGCACCACCATGCCCCACTAATTTCCACTAATTTTTCTATTTTTAGTAGAGATGGTGTCTTGCTCTTGCTCAGGCTGGTCTGGAACTCTTGGCCTCTAGCAATCCTGCCTCGGCCTCCCAGAGTGCTAGGATTACAGACCTGAGCCACTTTGCCTAACCCCTTTGGAGTTTTTATAGAAGCTTTATTGTGTTGGCATGATAGATTATATTGTTAGCCATTGGTAATCAACTCAACCTTCAGCCCCTCTCCCTTACCCAGAGGTTAGGTGGTCAGACTGAAGTTCCAACCCTCTAATCATTTGGTTGGTTCTCCTGGCAACCAGCATCCCATCCTGATACTAATCAGGAGCCTCAGCCACCAGATATCTTATTAGCATACAAAAAGAAACTTATCACTTTGGAGATTCCAAGGATTTTAGGAGCTCTGTGCCAAGAACCAGAGGCAGAGACCAAATATGTATTTCTTATTATATTACACTATCACAGCTACTGTAACAAAAATACCATAGACTGGGTGTCTTAAACAATAAACATTTATTTCTCATAGTTCTGGAAGCTAGGAAGTCAAGATCAAGATGCCAGCAGATCCAATGTCTAGCGAGGGTTTCCTTCCTGGCTTGTAGATAGCTGTCTCATATGTGTCCTCATGTGACCCAGAGAGAGATCACCTCTCTGGTGTCTCTTATAAAGGCACTAATCCCATTCATGAGAGCCCTCATGACCTAATTAGCTCCCAAAAGCTCCTTGTCCAAATACCATCACATTGAGGATTAGGCTTCAAGATAGGAATTTTGAAGGAACACAAACTATCAGTCTGTAGCATGTCTCCCAACTTTCATTTTGAAATATGCAAGGCAAAGATCTCCTTATGATCACCCAGCTCTGGCTGGTAAATTCCTAAAGAGTTTGTTAAACTACAATGGATAAATATGGTTCTTCCAAAATTGCGAGGTTGAATATTTTTGACTTGAACTCAGCAGCTCTTAGATTTTTTTAACTTCCTAGAAGTGGCTTAATTTCTTTCAGTACATTGGCTTGCTTGGAGCCATGTAGATCTGGAACCTTGAGGAAGGTTTTTGGTGATGTTTGCTGATCTAATATGTAAAGATGACAGCAGTAAACAAAGCTTAGAATTTGGAGCAGCATAAACTAAGAAGGAGGCAAGGCTAAGTAGTAAAGTAATATAATATCAGCTTTTTCCTTAGGCTCTTTCTCTTCTTTGAATCTCAGGATTGGGATAGAATGAGAATATTATGTTGAAATCCCCCAGCCCTTCCTAGGAGGACACTAGGCCTTAGAGTGCTTAAGTCCATCTGAGGGTATATGTCTGGGTTTGTGATAAAGCTGGGACAACTACCCAAATCTCCTGGAACATGGTGGTCAGCTTCAAAGGGTTCCCAGTGTACTTCATTGGAGAACATTGTGAAGGTTACCACAGGCTGTCCTTTTCATCTGTTGGCATTTAGGAAGAAGCCAAATATTTTAAAGACTATTAAAAAACATTTTATTAATAAGAAGGAAGCAAAGAGAATTTTTGACTCTGTGCTAACAGTCCTGATCATAGCCATAAGGAGTGTTTCTAGGAACCTGTGGGTGATCATAGCTCATTAGAACTTAATATAGAGTAGCCAAAACATCATGGCCCTGCCTATTCATCATTACTCTTAGCAGCAAAATTGTCTCCATTCAGTCCTCACAACCCACATTTAGTGTGGTAGGATTTCTCCTTCATCCTCACTGCAAAGCTGGTTCTAGATTAGCAGTGTGTTTGAGTCAAGAAAATATGGTTAGTCTGCTCACAGATGCTTGGTTTCCATTTTCCCCATGATTCGTTTGCTGTGCACCAAACAAGTGGCCCCATATGTCTGATCCTGATCAGTAAGACAATGACAGAATAAGATGGCTTTGTGTGAGGCCTGGCCATGCACTGGCCAGCTGAGACCTAGGATGCTTGTCTCCTTCAAGAGTATGAGCTGTTTAGTGGCAGTGCTGGGAACACAGCGCCTCTGAGCCTGTTTCCCTGTTTGCAGAACGAGGATAATGGTAATACCCTCTCCCCCAACACACATACACACACACACTGAGCTGCGGTGGGCATCATGTGAGTGCAGTGTGAAAGTGTTTTGTAAGGTATACATAAATGATAAGGTATTTATTTTTTTAACTTATTGTATTTCCCTTGGGCCTTCATCTTTTTTTAGGGTTTAGTATATACTAGATTTCTAATATTTTTCCATAAATGCCTCTTTCTCTCCTGCAATTAAATTGTACAATTTAGTTTGTCTTAGTAGTGCAGACAGTGAATTAATTCTGGCTATGCATGGCAAAGTTAAGAATATTGATTCTCCCAAATATCAAGGGAAATTTGACTTCCTTTATAGGATTGTTTCTATAAATGTAATTGGAAACTTTTGTATTTTTTAGAATATATTTTAATGTTATGGCATCAGCTAAAAAGCAATATATGAAAGTTTATGTAATTTTGAGGTGTTGTTCATATTTAAAAGTCTTTGGAAACATGGTCAAGAATTATGTGTTGAACTCCAGGTTCCCATGAAATCATGGGCTCCATAACTGAAAAAGTTCTTGAGGATATCAATTTTCTTGTGCTCTGCTGAGCAGAATGTACACAGTAGTAAGTCCAGCTCAACTGCTTGCTTTTTACAGAAATCAGACGTTCAGTCAAGAAAGCAAAATGCCGTAATCACTAAGGACTCATAAAAAGGATTATAACTACCTCTGGGAGTCCAAGAATTTAGAACTATTCTCTCTTCCCTCCCACATGTGGTTGACTAATACAACACACCAGTTCCTAGCAGGGCTCATGTATTTTACCCTTGCTGCTTTTATCGTTAAGATCCAAGTTTTTCACCCAAGTCATTGTGAGCTCCTGACAGGCTCCCGTGGCCACCACCGCCTCCAGCTCTCAGATGTGCAGTGGGCTCCCTTTGTGTCTCATTCTGCTTTCCTCGCAACCCCTGCACTGTGAGCAGACCAGAATTATATCTCCTCTAGCTGAGGGTCTCTCCTCGGTGATGCTGGTGATGACTATTAAAACCACTCTCCTTTGTTTCAAATTTTAGGGACACAGCAGGTCAAGAAAGATTCCGAACGATCACAACAGCATACTATAGAGGAGCCATGGTGAGTGTGTTTGAGGGTTATGTAACTCTTCGGGTGGAAGTAAAACATGCATATTTATTTGCCAAGATTATAGGATTCAAGTTGGAGTCTAGCACAATGGGGAAAATACATTTTCGATGTGAAAACTAAACATTTACAGGGTTTTTGGTTATGTTTTGTGTTTAATAACTGTATACTTTGCTATTGGTCTTCATAATAATAATCAGGTAATTAGCTTTTAAATGTTCTAGAACTCCTGTGTACATTTAGGCGATTGTATATTCTTAGGATTTTTCCTTTATTAATACCTTATGGCAGTCTTAGCCAACCACAAGCCCTGTGACTACGTAGTCGTTTCTTGCACTCTCATCACTCAGCCCTGCCATCGGCATCCGTTATCTCCCACCGTTTCTGCAACATCCACTGCTTATGCTCATCTCTCTGGAGTCTCCTTGACCAGAATTCTGCCAGCTGGCTAGAAAGTAGCCGAATGGTCTGTGACACTTTGAGGCTTAGAACCTAAGAACCTAGTGAATCTTTTTTTTTTTTTTTTGGTCAGAGTCTCACCTTTTGCCTGGGCTAGAGTGAGTGCCGTGGCGTCAGCCTAGCTCACAGCAACCTCAAACTCCTGGGCTCAAGCAATCCTCCTGCCTCAGCCTCCCGAGTAGCTGGGACTACAGGCACGTACCACCATGCCCGGCTAATTTTTTCTATATATTTTTAGTTGTCTGATTAATTTCTTTCTATTTTTTAGTAGAGACGGGGTCTCGCTCTTGCTCAGGCTGGTTTCGAACTCCTGAGCTCAAACAATCCGCCCGCCTCGGCCTCCCAGAGTGCTAGGATTACAGGCGTGAGCCACCGCGCCCGGGCAAGAACCTAGTGAATCTTGACTATCAAGTCCTTGTTTGCTACCTCCTGGCCTTATCCTGGTTATCGTAACTTCATTACTTGGTTATTTTCCATCCTAAGAGGCTTCATCTATTCAATGCATTTATATTGCTTATTGGCTCTGGGCAGGTCCTGTGTGGTGCTGGGAGTACAGTGGTGAGTAAGGCAGCTTGGAAGCAGAGCTGTGCTGAACCATGCCTGAAACACCAGGCCCACACCAGGGCTGTACCTCTGGCCTTTAGGCCTAAGCCAAGTACAGGTTGGAGCGTTGAATTATGATGAAACCCAGTATGCTCAGAGAGTCTTTGAAGGTTGAACAATTGAGATTATGAAGCCTAACCTGGTATATTGTAGGGTACCAGCTGCCATCATACCCAACTCGTTGCTTAAAAGACTCGTACCCCTGGAGGTGGTGCTAGGGTGACAGAGCTGAAGGGGTGATAGCTGTCCCTTGCCTCCAGAAAGATATAACTCATCCCCACAAAAAGATTAGGGATTCCTTTTTAAAGGTATACCACTAACTATGTTATTTGTATAGGTTCACCACACTCCACCCTACAATACTTTTAAGATTGTGAAAGATCATCATTTTAATAAAGACAGTTGCCAGCCGCTCTGTATTTGCTTAGATTGGAATCAAAGGAAAGGGACTTGTTGTATGTGCCAGGAAGACATTTGTTTGTTTACCCAGGAAGAATTTTAGGGATAAAAAGAACATTAAAACGGGGATGATTTGGAATAGTTTACAGGTAATTCTGAGTAGAGGCATCTTAAACACACAAGCCTTTCTATTGACCAGTTTTTTAATATTCTGGGAGTGATGTGTTGGCACCATTTGCGTGCTCATTTTCACTAGAGGGTGTGCAGGAACACTTAGAATGGGGGATTAAATGTTTCAGTTTCACGTAGATACCTAGTTCCAGTACATGGTATGAAGAAAGAGGACATTGGAATGTGTTATTTAATTTAGATTTGAGGATTGTCTGTGTTTTCATTTATCTACTGCTAGTCTTTCCTCATATTACTTCAGATAATTAGAAATTGTTGCTATTCTAGTTAGTTTTGTTTTCCATTTTGAAGCTAGGGACTTTTGTCTCTTCTGTTCTGCTATATACACTGCCAGTGTCTGACACATAGTAGATGCTCAGTAAGTACTTGCTGAAGGGTATATCAGTGGAAAATTTCAGACCTAGACATAGTCTTAGATAAATCTTCAGGAAATCCTGCTCTGCTTGAGTCCTGGATCTCTCAGGTCATCTATTCCAGTGGGATGTGGGGCCATCCTGTTCTCATTGGGGTGTACCCTTTTCAGCAAGTGGTGTTATGACAGTTTTACTTTGGTTGGTTCAGGTATGCACCGTGTCGACAAGCACTGTACTGGCGTCTCCACCGTGGCAGAATTCTTTGGTCTATTTCAGACACTTCAGCAACATTCACAGGCATAGCAGTAATCCTAATGAACAATCAGGCTTTGGGGAAAAAAAGGACCTTATCATTACATTTTCAACATTTCTCATAGACCAGCACCATCTTCTGAATTCTTAGGAAGCTATTCTTATTGTGGGTACACACTAGATGCATAAATGTTTTCTAAAATTCTCTTTTTTTATTATTACTGTTATTTTAATTGATACATAATAATTGTACATATTTATGAGGTACAATGTGATATTTTGATATGTGTATACAGTGTGTAATGATCCATTCAGAGTATTAGCATACCCATCACCTCAAACATTTATCATTTCTTTGTGTTAAGAACATTCAAAATTCTTTCTTCTAGCTCTTTGAAAATATACGATAAATTGTTGCTAACTACAGTCATCCTAGAGTACTAAAGAACACTAGAACTTACTCCTATCTGGCTGTACTTTTGTATCCATTAACCAGCCTCTGGCTAGCCCCATCTCACCGCTTCCCTTTGCAGCCTCCAGTAACCACCATTCTACCCTCTACTTCTATGAGATCTGCTTTTTTAGCTTCTACATGAGTGAGAACATGTGGTATTTATCTTTCTGTGCCAGGCTTATTTCACTTAACATAATGTCCTCCGAGCTCATCCACATTGCCACATATGACAGAATTTTGTTCTTTTTTATTGCTAAATAGCAGATACATAAAGTTTGAACTGGTATACTTGAAATTGTACTTCCAACTGATTCATACTATCAGTTAGCTTACGAACATAAGCAATAGTAAAATGATTTCTACTACTGAAACCAAAAAAAGATATAAATTAATAATAGCTATGATTTATTGAACCTAAGTTATGCCCTGTGTTCTAGGTGAAGTAGTTTAAAAATAATGTCTCAGTAGATCCTTGAAATGATCCAGCATAGAAGAGGTATTGTCCTCAGTTTACAAAGGAGGGAATGAAAATTAAGAGGAATAAAATAATGTCCCCAGGGTCTTTCAGTTAATACACATTGGAGCCTAAGCTAGACCTGTGCTCTTAACACCACACTGTGTTCACGCTTTCTGTGCTAACCAACTGAAGTGAGATTTCGTGATGGCATGGCATGTACACGATCAAGGTTGTTCATACAACCCAAAGGATGGCAGCGCTTTGGAAGTTATTTGGTCACTTTCAATAATATAGGCAGCCAAATACTTTGAATCAAGAATTATTCAGAATTCACTTTGATTTTTTTATCGTGGTAAAATATACATAACATATAATTTGCCAATTTAACCATTTTTAGGTTGTATAGTTCTCCATTTTGATTTTTTAAAAATAAAATTATTTGTAATGAGACAATTATAAAGTCTCCTTTAGAATGTGCACCCAAAGTAAAGCATTTGCATTTGAGGCAAGGAGGAGGGAGGATAGAGGAGAGTATTATTTGTTATTTAAACAATAATGTATTTTTTTCTGGTTGCAGAAAGGATACAGATAATATAAACAGTTTTGAAAATCCCAGGAAATCACCCAAAATCCCACCACGCTAAGAGATACCTTCTGTATTTTATTTCCTGAATTCTTTTGTCTGTCTTTTATATGTTTTATATTTATTTACATTTATATTTTACATTTAGTTACAAAATTGGAAGACACACCTTGAAGGACTTTGCCTGCCATACTAAGGAACTTTTAATTTAATTTTGAGTGCGATGGAGAGATACTAAAGGATTTTGAGCAATGAAGTTATAGCATTGGTGCCTCTATGGAAAGTGGGTTAGAAGAGGTTAAGACAATATTTGATAGCACAACAAAGTGACTATAATCAACAATAAGTTAGGGTATACTTTAAAATAACTAAAAGAGTGGAATTGGAATGTTCCTAACACAAAGAAAAGATAAACGCCCAAGGTTATGGATAACCCCTCTCCCCAAAAAAGATGTTATACTTATTTGAAAAAAAAAAATAAATAAAAAGTAAATCATTTCACAGCACTCATCTGCTCAAAAAAATAAAGAAGAAGTTAGGAATGAATGCAGGGAAACCGATTAAAGGTTATGACAGTAATCCAGGTAAAGAATAATCGACAAATATCTGAATAAGACCCTGTGTGTGTTGGGGGAAGGGCCAGATTCTGGAGATACTGAGGTGTTTGGGGCTACAGGACTTAGTGAGTGAGTGTCTTCAGAGGGGAAGATAACTCCCACGTGTTTGCTTGGGCTGTCTGGCTGGGTTATATTGCCATTCACCAAAATGATAATACAAGGAAGAGTAGAAGATTCAGAGGAGAGAAGACAATCTCACGTTTTCCTTAGTTGAGTCTGCGGTGACTACAGGGGATATCTAGCAGCTGGTGTCCGGACAGTTGTCTCCAAGGCACATCTGGCCTCTGCCTACCTATTTGGCCTCATCTTGTGCCCTTCTCCCATTAGATCTGTGCACCCTTGTCCTGCTGACTTTCTTCCACTGAGTCCAGTGGGCTCTGGATCTTCAATGTCAGCAAGATATTTATAATGTTTCCGCTATTTGCCAGGTACCACGGGCTTCCCCTCTTCACTGCAGCCCCCACCCCTTTGACTAGTTTGTCTACTCAGTCCTCAGGCCTTGGCTTTAATGTCATTTTCTCAGGGAAGTCTTCCCTGACCACTTCAGCCTCTCAACCAGATTAGATTACATCCCTAGGATATGTGCTCAGAACTCCCTGTGCTGCTTCATAGCAATTGTCAAAATTGTAATTAATTGTATTGTTATTAGTTCATTGTCTATTTTCTCTGCTAGCCATCCACAAGAGGAAGGGACCTTGTCTAGCTTGTTCACTGCTGGTAGCACTAGTATAGTATCAAGCACACAGTAGGTACTCACTAAATATTTGTTGAATGGATGGACAGGTGAGTTAGTACAGAAGTGTGGTCTGGGGATATAGACTCTGGAATAGTTAGCATACAGGTATTAGTTGAAACATTTGGACGGTAAATCTTTGAGAAATCCCAGACATGGAGTCTTTAAAAATATGACAACAGTGCCTTTCATTAAACCATTATGACAAATGCATTATATTTTAAGTGTCTGTGATCTTATTTGAAGAGTGACATTTTGATCAGCTTATACAAAAAATAATTTTAAAGTGGTGTGGTCTCAATCTTAGTAGACGAGCAAGAAGCAAGACAGTTTCTACTTGAAATAAACAAGTGTACAATGGAAGTGATTACCGCTTACTCTCAATGTTATCTCTGTTTTAACTTAAACACTCATTCAGCTCCAGTTGGTGCTGATCGTTATCATGTTAGGTCAGGTAGAAAGGGTGTATCACTTTTACAACAATCACTAATTCATTAAAGGTTTAACAGTGAAAATGTTAACTGAGTTTTTATTTATTTACGTGGTGAGACAATGGAAGAATTTATCTATTGATTTTTGTTTCTCTGTACTCTTCAAATTTATTATGAACCCCTTTTTGAAGACAAAAGAGGACAAACAGTAGGTCTCTAGAGGGTAAGAGTACACTGACATTATATACAACTTTAAATATATACGGTACTAACTAAAGATCTTTTTTTCCCTCTTATAGGGAATTATGCTGGTCTATGACATCACAAATGAAAAATCCTTTGACAATATTAAAAACTGGATAAGAAACATCGAAGAGGTATGCACGGAAAGGAAAGGCTGATACTGGGGCAGAGAGCTGCTGGGGCCTGTGAAGGGCTCCTGTCTCTCCGAGGGGCAGCGGCGCTGTGAGAAGCAGGCATGGGCAGGCGGTGCCCTCGCTCCTAGGAGCTCCATAAAGGCCTGGTCTCTTGCTGCCGGCCTGACTACTGGTGGGTGCGGGGGTGGCATGGTGGGGGGAGGAGGAGCAATGTCACAGAATTTTAAACTTAGGCCAGATCTGGGAGATAATCTCATCCAAGTCCCCATTTCACACACGAGGGAACTAAAGCCAGAAAGAAGTGACTTGCCTGTGCTCGTACAGCGTTTAAAAAAGAGAGCCAGGATGAAAACATGTGATTCGCAGATTCTGGCTATTGCACCATGCTGTTTGACTAGCAAAAATATATTTTTAGTCTGGCAACTTTTTGCCCTTCTGACATTTTCTCCACCTTAGATATCTGAAATTTGTTTTAATTCCAGGATAATTGGTATTACTTTTTTTTTTTATGTCTTTGACATTTCAGACAAAAATCTGACTCTGGAATAATTTTGTACACATTTATATTAACGCACATGAATTTATTTTTTAAGTAGTTCAGAATCCAGAATACTTTCTCCATTGGGTCACTCAGTAGCAAGTTTTTTTCCTTCTTTGACCCAAACAAATATTTGGAAATTTTGTTGTTAGATAACTGTAAGTTTTATTTCTATTTGTTCATGTGCAGAAAATGACAGAATGACTGTGGGCCCTCTGGGGAAGAAGGTTTGCACAGCTCTGCCAGGCTCTCATGCTGTGACTTTGCCCCTCCTCCCATCTTTAAACTTTCTCTGGATCAGGCCCTGTGTGGAATGAAAGATTATTTGCCTAATTATTAAATTCACGGATGTGTTTCTGACAGGTTAGGATTTGTCTGTTGAATGACCGATTTTTCTCAGGCTGTTTTGATAGCATATTATTCTCTCCCTGCAGCACGCCTCTTCAGATGTCGAGAGAATGATCCTGGGTAACAAATGTGATATGAATGACAAAAGACAAGTGTCAAAAGAAAGAGGGGAGAAGGTAAATTTGAATTGAATGGATAAAGGTTGGAATTCGTGCACATTAAATATTTATTTTCTTAGTATTTAATTATCAATCTAAGTTTTAAACATATTTCTGCTTAAATCCTTTAAAATTGGATATCAATAACAAAGAGAGGTAATCTATACTTGAATGGTGGGAATTAGTATTCGAGATCCAACTCTATATACTGTGTGGTCATGACTCATTCCTAAAGAATTTGCTAATGTTTTCTGGGAGATACGAATTGGTCCTTTCTAGGATTCCTGCAGCTTAGACTTCAGGCTGTTTCTTTCAGATTTGTGTGAAAATGCTCAGTTTTAAAGTTAAAGTAATTCATTTTCTTTGAAAAGGTTATAGGATAGGTGAAGTTTCAACAGTAATCATTTTCTAACTCATTTTTTTCCCTAAGAACATTTTACTACCTATTAGATTTAGGTCATTATGGATAAGCTATGGGTGTCATTTAGAGGTATTTCTCTCTTTTGTGTCCAGTAATGCAAAAGATTTATGTTGTGTACCTTATTACTTCTGTGGAATTTTCTAAATGGACTTCACTTTTTAAGTCTTGGAATTTTGCTTTAGCCTTTTTTGTTGAATGATATATGCAGAATGTGTTTTGTTTTTCAGTCTGACTGCAAACTTAATTTAATGTTGTAAATGAACTAGGAACTCTTCTGGGGGTAGATGGAAATATGGAAGAGTTCACAATTTTTCTCAGTAGAAATCAAAGCAAGGAATTCTTCAGTATTTAAGCTTTTGTTCTATTATGGACCAATTTATTAAAAGCAATTAAAAGTAGTAGAGTAACTGTTGGAGAATTGTACTTTTGGAGCAGATAAAAGGAGTGAATTAATCCCAAGTTAACTGTAGGGGTGGGAATTTATGTCATTGTTTTTCTTGTAAGTATTAGAGAACTTAAAGTATAATAGAAAAAAAGAGAAGTACTTAAATTGTGTTTTAAATGGAAGTTGTGCCATTTTTCTTATAAGTAAGTTGAATTAGTAAATTCCAAAAACAATAGAAGAAAGCAAAGAAATTTGAGAACCACGGGAATTCTAAAATAAATACTACCTCTGAAAAATCTAAAAAATATAAATGTTTAAGCAACTTTCACTGAATTTAAATGTTTCTGTTTGCCTTTCAGCTAGCAATTGACTATGGAATTAAATTCTTGGAGACAAGTGCAAAATCCAGTACAAATGTAGAGGAGGTAAGAAGGAAACATGGGGTGACTTGTTATACAGTGGCACCAGTGCACAGGTGCCTGTGTTCAAGCACCTCTCAAAGCCTTGGTGTTTTCTGATCTAGTGAGTGCTTTTTGTTGACCCATCTCCACTTTGTGCACTTTGTGCTTCTGACTTTTTTGTGGACTCTGATTGTTGAATTTCTAGCATCCAGCTTCCACATGGATTATATTAGATTGCTCAATTAAGATTCGCTGAACAGGAGATTAAGAAGTTCAATTTAAGTTCAGTTTTGCTCTTTGTTTGGGAAGCTAGAAATCCTGACTAGCAGACCAGGCAGTGTTCTCTGCTCATCTGTCATCATTCAAGTCATCCTGTCGTAGCCTGTAGCAGAAGAGTTAAATGACTTTCGTGTCTGTATTCTCTCCAGAAGGAATTGAACTGTTATTGAACAGATTCCCTTAGTATACACATCTGAAGTAGATAAAACACAATACATTGAACTATAGTGGCATTTAGTAGAAATAAGAAAGTGTGTTTATCAGAGAGTAGCTTTAATACATTTTCATTAAGTAAGCTGTTAAGGAAAACCAAATCATCTAAAATCTTCTAAGAATAGGTTTTCTTCACAAGAATGAATTGCTGATGATATTTTCTTTTTAAAACAACATATTTTAAACTGACCATAAAAATAATACATGTAATATTCTCTTAAAATACTGGCAGTCTCATAAACATTTAATTTCTTAGGCTACTCACTGTTCATCATAACATAATGTCTAAAAATTGAGATTTAAATGACTTTATTAGCCAATGGACATGGATCAGAACTTTTTGTTTTAGATAACTAATAGTCATTCTTTCAGGTTGGCTAATGGGTGTTAGGAAACAGGAAGTCTCCACTGATTATTTACACGAACTTACTTAAGCAGATAAACACTTCTCTGTGCTTGCCACAAAAGGAATTCACTCCATCAGAAAGAGGGGAGCTTCGTAAGTCAGCTCGAATGGTGGAGGCAGGAGAAAAGCTTGCTCACTGAGGTGGCCCCCATAGGATTGCTTCCAGAGAACGAACCTGGACTTAACGGAGCAGGCTAAGTCTCCGTTAGTACCTGCACCCTGATCATGGCTGTGGCTTAGAGAGAGCATTGAGTTAGGGAAGTATAAAGCTGGGAGTTGCTGAGCTGCTTACTCTAGCCAGGCATTATACAAATGTTAGCAATTTTTCCAGAGCTTTAAATTAGTGTGGTTAGCCTCATGAAAACTGAGATGGGCTTATTTAGAAACTTAGACTCATAGGTGGCCAGTGTGACAGTGAGATGCTGACAATGAGTAATAATAGTAGTTATCATATTGTTTCTATTTGATTGGACTGGAAATAATCCCTTTCCTAAACAGTTTTGGGGGATCAAGAGTAGCTGGAAACAATGACGCTGACAGAACAGTGGGTTTAACAGGGAGACAACTGAAGAAGCTTTAACGGTTCTTGGCTTTGTAGAAACAAAATTAAATGGGTTTAAAAAATATTTGGTTTGAGTCAAAAGACACTATGGATAAAGTATCACTGAGATTAATCAGATTTGTCCTGCTTCCATTGGACTGATTCCCATGAAGGGGAATTTCCTGAGCTCAAGGAACAGTTGTTGGGATATTGGAGTGTGAAGACATGGAAGATTATACATACTCAAGTGTAAGAGTGACAGCAATTTGAAAGAGGAGATCAGAAATAAAAAGTAGTTATTTTTGTGAAGACAAATTTTAGAGCTACAGGATAATACATAATCATTCATTCACTCATTAAACAGACATTCAGCATCTCCTAGACCAGACACTGTGCCCTGCTCTGGGGATGTGGGTGGCTTAAACAGAGCCTCTGCCCTGTTCTTGGTGTACTGAGGAAGCAGCTCATAACTCAACATGTGTCAGATTAAGAACTTGTGTCAGATGTTACATGAAGGAAGGAAATAGTTGATGAATGAATGACAGTTTGATAACTTCGGAAAAAAGTTATAACTGATGTAATTGAAAAAGCATGTAACATTCATGTGCATATTATGATTACAATTGTTATTCTCTCAATTTAAAACTTTAAAGTAATATATTTATGATGAAATAATGAAAATTCTGTATTTCTATTTTAAAATATATTGTGACTATATAATAATGAAAATTTTTGTTTTACCTGTAGGCATTTTTTACACTTGCACGAGATATAATGACAAAACTCAACAGAAAAATGGTTTGTATCACTTATAATTTTTATTTCCATTATGTTCTTTTTTTTATTTTGTGTTTGATGCAAAGGACAGGCTTGATTAAAATATATTCGCATTAAAATCATTTTTTTCCTGACTCAGATATTCATTTGGTTGAATGCTGATTCTTATTTCTGTTCGTTTAGGATTCTTATTTCTGAACTATAGCTGTTTCAGTTGTTTCATCTGTCTCTTTAAGTGGTCTTTAATTGAATGTTGATCAGAATAATGAAAATAATAATGGCACAAATTAGATTTTTGCCATAAAATTATCTGGTTCAGATATATAGATAGATAGATATAGATATTTATATCTGTATAATTATGGTACTGAAGCTGCTAAAGTTTGCTTAAATTTGGAACTATCTCAAGTGATGAATCGTTAGGACAACCTTGGAAGTTTGTTTTAACCTGAGTCCTGAATATAACTGTATACCTTATATTACCAACTCTTCTTACCTCTAACAGGATTATCTATACCAGTATCTTGACATTGTTTCCGTCATTACCTTCAAAACTTTACACTTCATTGGTTATAATTTCTTTGAACTAGAAATAAGAGCTTCCTATCTAATACATTATTAACATAAAAAGTGCTATCCTAAGGACATTTTTCTCTTTTTAATCCACCATTTCCAAAGAAAAAGACAACAGTGGTGCTTAACTAGTTCCTTTTCTAATAAAATAGCAAGATGCACATTTCACTAGAATACGCATTTCACATGGTTTGGTTTGCTATTTTTGTTTTTTAGACAATTGGGATCAAACCATGAAACTTTTATTTCCTTGGTAACTTTATCTTCTATTTTTTTAGAACGACAGCAATTCAGCAGGAGCAGGTGGACCAGTGAAAATAACAGAAAACCGATCAAAGAAGACCAGTTTCTTCCGTTGTTCATTACTTTGATGAACTCTTTCTGAGAGACTGCAGCACACCTAGAGGGCCCTTTCCTGCTTCTCTGAAAGCACAGGTCACCCAGCCTCAGAATCACACCGCCGGCTGCTGCTGAGAGCACCACCCAACATAGACCTCTCAACACAGAATGCCACGTGGATTCCAGCCTCATGGAACAGGCTCCTTTTTTCAAACATGGAAGCAAACAAAGTGGAGACACTTGCAGGACCTAACTTGTTTTTTCTTTGTTTTATTGCCTTTTGCAGAAGCTGCTATCTTTCTTTTTCACTTTGCACATCAGTGTTAGCCTTCCCTATTACAGCACAATCTTTAGACATATATTTGCACACTTTTGTGTCATGAAATTCTAGACAAATTTGTACATTTGGGGATGTTTAAAAGACAGCAGAACATTTAGAGCAGAGATTAATAAACTAAAATTAAAAGATATTTGGTTTGGTTCATATGGCCAAATGTTACTGCATTGGAAGCATTTATTTAAATGCTTTGATTTGTGGTTTTCTTAAATAAGAATCATTAAATTCATTTTAAAATTTTATGAAAATGCCCATCTATTCATCAGAGGCCACAATGTCTTTATTTCTTCAGATTGTTAAGAGTTTTGCCTCATCCTGACCTTTTTGTGAGAGAGTCTGGGTGGCTGAATGAATCACATTATAAATTGATTACCTCTGCCTAATCTATAGAAGCTGTATTTGGAAATCACCATAATCTCACTTTTCCTGGGGTTTGTATTTGCTATTCTTTCTCTCGTTTGACTTATTGTAATTATTCACTTATCTAAAACTAATAACATATTCGAGTGTTGTTGTATTTCTATTTGTGAACTTCTTCAGCTGAAATTTTACATAGGCAGAAAGATGTACCATTTAGGACTTTATTTCACCATATAACTGGGGTTCTGTCACATAATGGTATGTAATGTATTTTTTCTAAGGTTCACCCCTTAGCTTTCTGGTTTAGTTGCAATACCCAATTCTTACCATAATCCCTGTCTGCAAAAGTTAACAAAAGTTAGATTTAGATTTTAGCTTGCAGAAAGCTTACTGATAGGGAAATTAACTTGTCGATATAAATTTAATAGAGATAGCTCTTGGTACTGGTGAAAATAATGATTTTTGGTTCTGTTTTTATTTGAATGAGTATTTTTTTAATGAAAGTAATTAGACCTAGTGCAGCCTCTAGGAAAAGTCTCACCTTTTCATTAGAGAAAATATGATCAAGGTTTCAGTTTTATAACACCTGTTGTTGAGTAAGTAGAACCAAGTTCCATCAGTTTAGATTCATTGTTATAGAACTTAGTCTAGTCATTTGGGCCAAAGCCCACCGAATGCTTAGTTGCCTTTCTCATCAAACATTGGTACTGGTATACCTTTTGTAGATGAAACCATCACATAAGAAAAAAAGGTATTTAGTGTTAACTTATGTGCCAAATTCAGATCACTATGTCATTGCTGTTATTCTAGCCTTCAGTGCCATAACACAGAAGGCAGTAATACAGAGGTGATTAGGGAAATGAATTCTGTTAATTATTCTTCCTGTTAATGCCTAACTTGCTTCACAAAGGCTACTGTCATGCTTGATAGTTAAGAACTGGAGATGGATGTCTAAATGGATTGCTTGTTACCTACCACAGAGAATTCTGCTTCACATTAAGATATGTCCTTAGAATGCTTGGACCAGTCAACCTTTACTACTTGTTTGAAAACTTAGGAACAGTTTAGCAGCTGCAAATATACCAGAGCTATTTTTGATGGATACATCAAACTTACTGTTGACAAATTTTAGCCTCCTTAATAATTTTTATAGTTACCTATAGGCTTAAAAGTCAGCCATTGCTGTCCCAGTATAATCAGTAGTTCCGTGATTGAAACTTGATTGTAATCTGCTGTCTTCAAGTTAAATACATTCTCAAAAAGAAAAAATAATTTCGTAGAAACATCTCATTTTCACTAATTTTCTGAAAAAATTCCAAGCAGTTAAGCTTTCTGGATGGTAACAAAGTACTTTCTAAAAGGCAAGTGCTATGACACCATGTATGAATGTAATTCTCTTAGTAATTTACCTCTGACTATTTGGTGTCTTAACACTTTGGTTTATATCTCAGGGGTTGTCTGCAAACCAAAACTGACATATTCTGTGGTTAGCTTTTTACATTTTTTTTTAACAGAATGCTTTGCTTTTGTTCAGTTTCCTCTCTTCTTTTGTCTTATATGGGTTAACAACTGGTCTCCATGAACTTCCCTTTGAAAGAGCCTGCAAAAAATTTAGATGAGTCTGAAAGTGCTCTTTGAAGTAGCAGCAAATTGGGAGTATATGCTCTGTTGTATAAAAATAAATTGTCCTTGCTATTTTCTTACATTTAGCTTTGCTAAATTGTATATAAATTGAGCTAAGACCATAGGAAATCCACTTTCTGCATGGTAAAATGACCCAATAAATATTCCACTTTGCTTAATAATGTACATATAGTGCATTATTTTTTCTATTTGTAGATGAATTTAGTGACAGATAATTGTCTGTTCCCTGCTGAAACTGAAGAAATCTAGTTTTTTGTGAACATTTTTGTGGTCTTATGGATAAGGTACATGAAGATTTTTGCAGCAGTATTAGTGGTTCAGTGGCTGCACTTTATTATCAATGTGCTAAGTTTTTGACAATGATCGGATTAGACCTTTTCAAGTAGATGCTGAGGGTTTCAGTGAAAATGTGCTGTAACTAAGTAGCATGTAAGTCAGTTGATTATAATATGTTTCACTGGGAACTTATTTTAACTATATTTTACTTCAGACAGATTATGATAAAATAATCCACCTGTGCATCAGTTAGGAGGTGCTGCAGGGTTTCTTACTACTTACATAAACATTTTGTGCAGTCTTTGTTATAAATTTTCAGAAGACTATACTCTTTACTTTGAAGGACTGTTTTTTAATTATACCTCATTTAGCTAACTACAATAGTATTCTAATACCTGGTAGAAAAACGGTGAGCCAGCCTTTAAGCACCCAACAAAATTTAGATTATATGTTTTGTTTTGAACTGAAGGCATCTTTGAAAAAGATAGGAGATACCTTAGTTTAGAGTAGAACATATATGTCATATCCAGTAGAGTAAAAAAAGTATTATCTCTTTGTCTCCATTAATAAATTTAGCTGTGCAATATAGATACATTTTTGCAGAAGTTTCTAAGTAAGAGATCATAACTCCATTTTACAGGTTCTGAATGCTGAGAGTGTATTAAGGCTTATAAAGTTTTTCGTGTGATAAGTAAGTGATACATGTAAGCAGACATTCTTTTCAAATTCATGACTTAAATTCCTGTACAAATTTAGTTCTTAATCTTTAAAGAAGAGCTTCTAAGCTTAAAATTTGAAAACTGAATTTCAGTATGTTTGATTTACTTATCTCAAATTTTAAGCACTCATTTCTGTAATCAGGGTTTTTAGAATTTATTTTTTAAACAGAAAAGACATTCCTTTTTCATTTTTGTTACATCCAAAGGGTGGAGGGGCAGGGGTGGGCAGAAAGGAATGTCTAAAAATGAAATCCCTTGATGTATAGAGGGACCTGGAAGGACAGGCTATGCTAATAAAATTTCAAATTTTAGCACAATTTTAGAGTAGAATCAATCTTTCTTTTAGACTAATAAAATTAATGTCATGTTCACTATGAAAACGTCTAAATGAAATGTACAGAAATAAAATTTCAAATTTTAGCACAATTTTAGAGTAGAATCAATCTTTCTTTTAGACTAATAAAATTAATGTCATGTTCACTATGAAAACATCTAAATGAAATGTACAGAAATGAAAATTAGCAAACAATTATTTTAGGGATATTTTCAGATTTTACTTAATTTCTTGAAATGCATGTGCCATATGCAATTGCATTTCTTGTTGCCAAGAACTAAGAGACCATCTTATTTCATTTTCTTACCTTTTTTAAAAATGTGAATCATAGTTCATTCCTATGGCCTTACAGATGGGTTTTAGTTTGTTTGTTTGCAGCTGACACTGCAGTTCCTTTAATGCAAAATACTATAAACTATTTGACAAAAATCATGTCCCTAATGGAGAATATCTAGTTTTTCCATGGAATTATCCTACTGTGTATGTTTAAACATATTTTATTTTTACTCCAATGGCTTAATGTGAAAAGCTCCTGCAGATAAAGTGGACCTGTCATGTGTTTAATCTTGTTTAAGCCAGTTCATTAACTGTGTACTGATACTGATGCTGTGTTTTTTTTTTAAAAAAAGGATTTTATTCCAGGTGAACTTTTTTTATTTACAATAATGTTCGTCTAAAATAAAAACTACGTAATGAAAATACTCATGACTCTCTGAAATGGATTGTGCATTTTTAAAATGTTTTTGTAAATTTGATAGGTGTATGATTCAAACCATGATAGACTTGAGCTATTTTAGCAAACTTTATATCTGACCCAGAGTTGTTTAAAGACTTAGAAAAATGGCCAGATGCCCTGTTGATACTTAGTTCAGAAGACGTTGATGTTATTCTGTTGTAGAACCTGTAGCCTTAAATTGATCATCCTTCCCTTCTTAGTCCTTGCAAATTTAGCTGCTGTTGTTTTGTTGTCACTTAGTTTGATGGCGCCAGCCCTGTTAATGTTCTCCTACCTACCTTGCTTGTGCATGTCCCAGTCTCAGCCTTTCCCCTTCATCCCACAACCATTTCAAACCTTCACTATTCTTAAGCTTCCTACCTCTTTCCTCTCATTCTTCATAGATATTTCATCTCCCATCTCCCAGAGAAAAGCATCACTCTCAAACCACTCCTGTCCCTCCCTGATCTATAGTTAACATCGTCTTAGCTCCCTCCTCTTGGTAGCAGAGGCATTGTTCCTACTCCAGGCTCTCTCTCTGCCTCTTCTCTGGATTTGTCCTCCTACCGTAGGCTGCTTTTCTGGGATCTCACAGCTCTTTCCCTCACACCTTCAAACTCTTCCCCTGCCTTGGCCCTTTTCCCACAGCATCTGGGCATCTTCAACCCTCCCACCCTGTTGCCTTGTGTCCCTCTCTTACCTGCTGCTCTTTTTCCTCTTCCTCTTACAGTTAAGCTTTTCCAAAGAGTTGCCTACTGTTACTATCTTAACTTTTCCACTTTCCATTTATTCCTTAACCTACCCTAGTGTGGCTTCCACCCCCACCACTTCGCTGACTTTGTGCTTACAATGGCCTAGTTGCTAAGGTAGTGTTCAGTCCTTATCTTAGCTACCTTCTTGGCAGCATTTGACCAGTGTATCTCTCCCCACCCAGAAATGTTCTCTTCCCTCGGCTTCTGTGACAGTATTCTCCGGATTCCCACTTTTCCAGGATAATTTTATCTCTTGTCAGGGCTCTTTAAGTGCTCATAACTTCTGTGGAAAGGCTGAATAATTGCCCCCTGCCCAAGGATGTCCACGTCCTAATCCCCGAAACCTGTGAGTGTTACTTTATATGGCGAAAGGGACTTTGCAGATGAGATCAAGGATCATGAGATGGGAGATCATCCTGCATGATCCCGGTGGGCCCAGTGTAATCCCAGGGTCCCTCTTATGAGAGGGACATGGTAGAGTCAGAAGAAAGCCACGTGGTGATGGGAGCAGAGGGAGAAAATGTGACATGATGCAGGGCTGTGGGCCAAGGAACGTGGCAGCCTCTAGAATCTGGAAAAAGGCAGGAAAAGGATTTTCCTCTAAACCTCCAGAAGGAACCACCCTGCCCTGATACCTTGATTTTAGCCTAGGAAGACTCATTTTGTACTTACGGCCTCTGTAACTGTAAGAGAACATATTTATGCTACTTTAATCCACAAAGTTTGTGATAATTTGTCACGGCAGCAATAGGAAGCTAATACAGCTTTCAAATGTGTATCTCTGCCCCACCATCTTTCCAGAGGTCCAGCCTTAAAAGTTCATCTGCCTATTGGACATCTCCCCTTGGATCTGCTAGAGGGACAGCAAACACAGCATGTCTGAAACTCAAACTCAACTCTTATCTTTCCCACCTCCCCAGCAACCCCCAATCCCATGGGGGAATTCTGTTCTTTCTCCATCGTAATAAATAGCACCATCACCTAGATCCCCAGTTAGTCAGCCTCCAAATCTTACAGGTCCTACCTCCTTAATCTCTCTCTCATCTATCCACGTGTCCATTATTATTGCCTCCGTAGTCTCCCAGTCTCTAATCTTATTTTCCTCCAGTCCAATTTTCACAGTGCAGACATTTTTCTAACTTGAATCTTATCCTGTCACTGCTAGATGTAATGCTTTAGTGGTACTTCATAACCTTGGGATAAAACTTCAACTCGTGTGCGCGGCAAACAAGGTCCTTTGCCATCCCCGCATATCTCTCTCCTGTCACACCCTTTCTTTGAACCTCACCAGTCATTGCAGTTCCCCAAACACATCATGCTTTTCCATTCCTTTGTTTATGTTGCTCCCTCTGCTGCCTTCCTACCTCTTTGCCTGGCTAGATCCGCTTACCTTTCAAGACTTATGGTAAGATTTTAGCCACAAACCATCCCCGGTGAGAAGCCTCCAGTGTATGCCCAAAGTGTTGCTCACCGCACTGGATTCAAGTTGTCTGTTTACTTTCTTTCCCTTCTAGGTAGACTCCAAGCTCCTGAAGGGTGGGAACCATGGCTTTAGTTTTTGTATTCACTATACCCAATAAGGGGCCTGGCACATAGTAGGTATTTAATAGATGTTGAAATAATCGGTGAACTTCCATAGTCATAAAAATTAACATGCTGCTGAAGAAAGCTATGTGTAATTTAGGAGCTAAGTGTTATTTAGAAGTTTTGTTCTCGATTTACTTTTACAGAAAGATTTCAAGTATTATAAATCTGTAAATGCCTCAGTAAGTGCAGCAATAAAATGAGAAGCTTCATTATCTGGTCTTTATTCTGGTCCTTACCTTATACTATTATTAAATAGAGAAGAATTTCCATTTGCTAAGGTGAATCACCCAGAACACTGTTGACATATTGATAAATTGCGTAAACCCTCTTTGCCCCTTCCTGTTTCCTACCCTCAAGATTTAGATTTTCTAATATTAGTTCCAGGGATATATAAGAATGCCCCATAGCAGGTAAAATAAATAAATATGTATATTTACCCTTCTAAGGTAAAAGTAGTTGGACGATGACATGAAAGAAAAGTAGCAACTACTGTGGGTAAGAATAGCAACTGCTGAATAGCTATACGAACTAAGTCTTTGTTCCTTAGGAGTAAATATTGTAATAAATTTTAGAGAAAATATTTCATATAGGTAGCTACAGGGGTCAATACATTACCAAAAATAACAATATCTCGATCAAGGCAGTTGGATCTACTACAAAGAGGCTTGAGTTACAAATCAAGACTTCCAGGTTGCAGGTTGGTTCTGCTGCTAATTAATGGAGCATTTTCTAGGTTTGTTTTCTTATCTGTTTGCTTTTTTTTTCTTTTTTAATTATATTGGATGATCCCTGAGTCCTTCCCCAGCTCTGAAATTCTATGAAACACTAGTAATTACCACAGATCATTTGATATTCTACCATTGCTGTAGTTTGTCTCTCTGATGTCTACATGAAGCTATTTCTTTTTATGGTTTATAGATTTGGAATACAAATTAAATCAACTTCTTGGCATTATGACCATGGATACTTAGAAGAAACTAGGTAGTTAAGTAATATTTTATCTAATTTCTTATGACCCATTTTTCCCTCCTTGTTTTTTCTCTTACGATTTCTTCCTCTTGCATTGCCTTTTTAAAAAAAAATTCAGTAGTGAGTATTGTTTGCAAGCTGAAGCTGAATTAATTCTGAGTATGTAGTTATTTCTAAGTGTTACTTCCTTAAGACTCTCATACTGTGCCATCAACAAAACACTGCTTAATAAAACCTGGGTCTTCGGTTGACTCCTTCAGGGCAAGTAGCTTCACTCTGTCCTGCAGGATCCCAGCAGGATCAAACTACATCACTTGTTACTAAGGAAACTGGGTTGGGTATTCTGATGGACCCCTCAATCTCATGTCTTCCTCCAGATGGTGTCCTGTCTCCTCTCCTCCAAAGCTAAATTTCTCCTCTTTCCTCTTTTTCTCACCACACATTCATTCGAGAACACTTTGTGGACTGGCTTTTGCTCCTATGTCTGTTAGGGTCACTAATGACCTCATGGCTAAATCCAGTGGACATATTTCACTAGTAGCTTATTTAACCTCTCAATAGCCCTTCTTTCTGAAATGTTTTTCCCCTTGACTTCCACGACACCACATTCCTCTAGTTTTCTTGCTGCCCTCCTAGCTGCTCCTTTTCAGTTTCCTTTCAGGTTCCTCTTCTCATACCTTAAAGTGTTGGTGTTTTGGCAAAGGCCTGTCCTTGCTTTACTGACTCTCTAGATGATTCTACGCAATATCGAGGCTTCAAGTGTTCAGAATAGTCTCATTTCCAGGTTTTCAATCCAGGTCCATGCTGATCCTGAATATCCGTTAGCCTACTGAACAACTCCATTTGGAGTGTTCTCCAGCTTCTCAATCTCAGGGCATCCAAAATCGTGCCCGTTATCACGTCTCCTTTCCACACTCTCTCCTCCTCCTGTCTCCAAAGCAACCACTTGAGCCCAAAACCTCTAGAAGTCATCATCCTTGACTTGTCCCTCTCTCTCACTCCATGCAGTTCAGCAGTCACTAAGTCTGTTTGCAGTTCCTGAATCTTTAAGAGGTGAAATGCAAAACATCTCCCTTTGGGTCCCAACTTTTGTCCACTGGTGTTAGTCTTTTCAGTGTGGATGGCCAAGAGTTTTATTCATGATGGATATTAAGGAATGAGTAGGGGTGGCTAACACTTAATATAGCACTTACCTGTGCCAGGCACACTCCTCAAAATAACCCAGGAGGTAAGTATTATTATTATTATTTATTCTCATTCAACACAGAGAAAAATCTATCTTAAACATAAATGGTCACAGAACTTAATCTTCCAGTTTTAATTTTTAAACCTCTCAGAAACTGTTAATATAAAATAGATGTAAGTTCCACTTTTTAAATTATTTCATTCATTGAACAAATATTTAGTGAGCTGCTTCCAGGCGCTGAGGAAACAACAAAGAACAAAGCAAAGCCCTGTCCTCCAGTTTACATTTTAATGGGGAAGACAAATGAGCAAGTTATTAACAAATGGTCCGCCAGAGGATGGAGCAGGGCGATGATACTATTGCCATAGGGTGGTCAGAGAGTGCCTTCAAAAACGTTTTTTAAGATTTGGGAGAAAAAATTAAAACCAGCTGTCCAAAACACCTCTGAGAAGGACAGCTTCCTCCACCACCATTTATTTCATCATTTTACCACCTCTGGGTAATGGCTGGGTCACTGCTATATCAGCCCAGATTTTACACGTTGATGGAGCACGAAGTTCCCTCAACTATGCAAATAGAAAAAATGTGCCTTTTTTTTTTTTTTTTTCTTTTTTTTGGGGGGGGGGTGGTGGGGGCAATACAGACCGGGAAAATGTGCTTTTAAAAAGACTCCTCTATTTAAGAAGGAATTCTGCCTCCGCCCTGCGCTGTTTTTCCTGAGTTGACCTGGAATTGTTCCCGTTCTCGGCGCATGCGGCTTCAAGGTAGGATGGGGACCTCCCCTCCTCTCAGCCACCTCGCGGATGGCACTGGTGATCGATCCATGTGTACCTGTGATGGTGGGGGCTACGGCTTGGGTTCTAAGGTCGCCAGCGACCCCCGCCTGGGGATCAGGACCTGCGGCACAGCGCAGTGGGTCCCAGACATCCGCGGGGTCCGAGGGACCGGCAGTTAGGTCCGCGCTCCATACCCCGCCCCTCTCTGCGGCCCCGCCCCGCCCCTCGCCACCGCCCTGCCTCGCGCCCCGCCCCGCCCCACGCCTCAGCCGCTCCACGCCCCGCCCCTCGCCGCGGCCGCTGCCCGCCCTACGCCTCGCCCCGCCTGCGCCGGGAGCATTTCGCGTCCCTTGCAGGCCCCGGGGCAGGTTTCCGCTGTCGCCATGACGGCGGCTGTGTTCTTCGGCTGCGCCTTCATTGCCTTCGGGCCTGCGCTCGCCCTCTACATCTTCACCATCGCCACCGAGTCGTTGCGCATCATCTTCCTCATTGCCGGGTGAGGCGGCTGTGCCGGGAAACCCGGACGCCGGGGCTCCCCTCCCCCGCCGGGGGCACCCGCGACCCCCAGGGTACCCACGAAATGGCTCAACCTTGTTGGGTTTTGGACGGGAGGAGATTTGGGAGGGGAGAGCGGGTATCTGCTCCCCCAGGGCTCCTCGCCCTCCTCGCTCATACTGTGGGTCAGAGCCCCGCTGTTTGGCTGCTGAGAGCTTTTGCCTAGGGTCCATGGATGGGTTTTAGTGCACCGTGGAGCCGCCAAAGTTGTATGAAAAAATTATGGATAAGTTCATATACGCATCCTTCATTTTTCGGGGGAGGGAGTCCCTAATTTCTCTCAGATTCTCAAAGGCATATGTAATCCAAAAAGGGTTAAGAACCATTAGAGTGTAGGATAGTAGTTCTCTCACTCTCTGCCAATTAGAATTACCTGGGGGCCAGGTGCTTTAAAACATGCTGATGCCCACCCCCGTCGTCCCCACAGATCAGTTTAATCAGAATGTCTAGGAGACATTCGGGCTTCAGTGTTTTTTTGTTTTTTTAAAGCTCCTTTTAGATGATTCAGGTGTGCAGCGAAGGCTGGAAACCCATGAAAACACTGAAACACCTGACTGTGCATCTCCACCTGGGAGCTTGATAAGTACGGAACTCTGGTTGCCAATGTGGTCGTGATCCCTGTTTTGACTTGTCTGGCAGCTCTTACTGAGTGGGATATGCGACGTCTCCTCTACCCCCATGAGTCTCTCTTGGCACCATACTAGGCCGGTGATTCCAGCTTTTCTGAGCTGCTTCATCTCCCACAACGGTATTGAAAATGCTGCATCACATTCATTTTTAAAACAATAGAGATTTCAGATAAAGGTTTGTAAAACTTGCTATAATCATTAGAGTCTACAGAAGTCTTGTAAGACCCTGGTCTGGAAAACTGATCTAGATCAGAGCAGGGGTTTTCATCCGCTTGATTTTATTCCAATCACTCTATTACTAGAGATGTACACATTTTTCTGGAAAAGACACTCATCTTTGCAGATGTTTGACCATTAAGTCCATAATCTCTGGTAGGTTTTAAAGATATGAAAATTGCAATAGTCACAGGTTGTATGTTTTATTGTTTTGACACATTGATGGGTAAAGCATTGATTAGGAACAGTAGCAAATAAGCAGGTTTCCAACTGGACAGTCCTTGGCAGATAGAGTCTGCCTGCAGACGTACTTGCAAATAGCAGAGTCACCGAAAAAGTAATTGTTGGAAAATATCACATTCCTCTTGGACTACATGTTTGTCTCACCAGAGAAAGTGCACAGCTGATCCAGAGCATCGCTTTATGAGGACTTTTTTTTTCTTATTAAAAATTCAGGATATCTGTTCCTTCTCAAGCAGGGTTTTTTCACTTTTAAATCATTATTAATCTTGTACTTATATTGACTTGTAACTTTTTTCTCCCCAATTTTTCAGAGCTTTCTTCTGGTTGGTGTCTCTACTGTTTTCATCCCTTGTTTGGTTCGTGGCAAGAGCCATTGCTGACAACAGAGATGGACCAATACAGAAATATCTGCTGATCTTTGGAGTGTTGGTCTCAGTCTTTATCCAAGAACTGTTCCGGTTTGCATATTATAAACTTTTAAAGTAAGTTAAATGTTTGCATTACCTTTTTTTACCAGTTAGATTTGAGATATGATTTGGTCATTTGGAACCTAACTATAGTATGGTATTTGAGGGTCCATACCTTCCTACGGAGTTCTAAGCAAAGACATTGGTACATTTCCAGCCTGAAAATATTGAGTATTCTTTTAACTTGTGGACATTTCCCTCCCTCCCTCCCTGCCTTACTTCCTTCAACATACATTTCTTGAGAATTTATTCAATGCCAGACACTATCCTAGGCACTGGGGATACATCAGTGATTAAAAGAGTCTCTGGCCTCACGTGGGAGGAGACAGACAACAAATGAATGAACAAGAATGAATTAACACCATATATTAGAAGATAAGTGCCACAGAGAAAAATAAGCTAAGGAAATAGTCATTGAAACAACAAGAGAACCCATTCTAGCTTAGAATTTATATGTGCTTCTCTTTGCCACCACCCAAGACCAATAATTTTTATGGTGATCATGCCTTCCATTATTTTGACTGTAGTAGGGAAACACAGGAGTTCATTTTATGATATTTTCTGTAGTTTCAAATCTATAGTAAAAAAAATACATTAAAAAAAAAAGCCTTGGCAGCACAATTCACTATTGCAAGGACGTGGAAGCAACCCAAGTGCCCGTCAATTCATGAGTGGATTATTAAAATTTGGTATATGTATACAATGGAATATTAATCATAAGAAACGACAGTGATCTAGCACCTCTTATATTTTCCTGGATTAAACTTAAGCCCATTATCCGAAGTGAGATATCATAAGATCGGAAGAATGGGCTCCAC